TTAGAAAACTAAAGGAAACGAAGATAAATTGAAGAAAAACAAGTTTCCATACGAAAACTTATATAGAAGTACATAGATTATAGATTAAAATTAAGCAGAAAATGTCAAATGGGATCATGTTATTCGGCTAGGGAAGAGAGTTTAAGGTACTAAAATTAAATATTCAGCCAATCGTGTGTATACCAACTATATAATATGGTATTCCGATGTTGAAAAGCTTTGCAATATATGTGAGTAGCACTGTGAACCTATGAAATGCCAAGTTTGGTCAAGTTATCTTAATAAATAAAAAGTTTTACATACAAGTACGTTCTTTTCGACCGCATCCGACATATGACTGCAACAGAAAGAGGGACCTATGCAAAGTTTAAAGACGGGAGCTTTCAAAACTAGAGACTAGTTTGCATAGAAAGAGAGACGGACGGACAGGCGTATGTGGACTTGGCTCTTGATGCTGATCAGGAAAATATATAATCTTTCATGTGTGTAAACATCGTGTCGTTGATATTGACGCGCACATCTCTAGCACGGGGCTGGCTATTTTCGACTTGAATTTTAACACAATTGCCAAAATCATTTGCTGACACGCCCACTGACACGATGCCTACGCCATCCCCCTGCTGCCCACGTTTGGCAAAATGAGCCACATGACAGCCACTAATCTGCACTTGTATTGACATTATATGGACATTTGTAATTTCCGGTGATGCCATTTTTATGCGCCCATAAAGGGCATACACTCTGGCAACAATGCCGCACAATGAGCAGCAAGCAGCAGCCCTTGACCAGTTTTTGTCAAGGGTCCTCCAGCCCTTTTCTTTGCTCTTCTCCTTTTTTTTTTTTGGTAGATTGCCAGGATATGCGCCCGAAAAAAATAATACAAAGCAGCGCATAGGCAGGCCCAGGCCTCGTTAACTATTAAAAAGGCAAGCAAATGTGTGTGTGTGTGTTTGTGTGTGTGTGTGTAACACACACTCGCACACACGCCGGGCAATTCAATGCTGTTTATGAGCGCACATAAAAAGAAAACTTTGAATTTTTATTTGAGACGTCAATGCCAAAATGTTTGTTGCCGCCTAATGAGGCAACAGCCGCACAGCCCGAAAAGGGTTGACAGTTCACACACACGATACACATATATTCACACACTCGCACACACACACACACACAAACACACACACATGCTCACTTGTGCCTAGGCTTATGGACTATTAAGTTCATAAAATGCGCTCTCAAGTAATTTTCAGGCAGCTGCAAATGCATTGACACATATGAATTTATATAAACACACACGCACACACGCAAACACACACACACACACACACACATATGGCCGTAAAGCAATTAACCAAATTGCTGTTTATTGGCTGCCAGGCAACAGCTGGCGGCAAGTTGCAAGTCTCAAGTCGCCAGTCTAATTGCCCATTGCAGCAAACACACACACACACACACACACACACACACACACACACACAGAATTTATTTATACCTAATCAAATGCGAGCTTAATTAAAGCACCTGGCCCAGGCACTGGCATCGATGGCTGCCTATTTGGCTAATACATTTGGCAGAGTTGCCTCCTTTTTTGGAGCCAGCAGCCCGCATGCCAAATACCTGTGTGTACCTATGTACAAGCTTTTTTCAGCTGCACCTCTCCTCCGCACACCCCTCCACACACACACACACACACACACACATTTTCGGTTGAAGGTGAAAAGTCAATATTGTGGTTGCAACTGTAAAATATTAAATGTCTTTGCTAGAACCGTAACGTTGCCCGGCCGCAACAACTATTTGCATGCAATTTGTTGCAAAATAGAAAATAATCAAAGCAATGTGCAACAGACCATGCAACAAGGCGGGCGGCGGGCGGCGGGCGGCAGGCGGGTCATGGGCGTGGGCTACTTAGCAAACATCAACACCTGGCAAGGGCTCCCTTTCTGCCGGTATGCGGCAGGCAGCAACAAAGGCGAGCTGCAAATTGGCTTGTGGCAAGCTGTGCTGTGCTGTGTTGCATGCAGCTAACCAGTAACAAGCCGGTAACAACATCTAATCAATTTTCCACAATTGGTTGCAGCAAATGAAGCTAAAGCTGCAGCTGACCGCAGCACCAGAAACTGTTGCCCGATTTTCCGCCCACATTTACCTTCAACGATTTCTATTCTAATTCTTAACTTCATTATGGGATTTGTGTAATTGCTATGCAACTTTGCAGGGAATCTCTCTCCCTCTCTTTCCCTCTCTCTCGCTCTCTCGCTCTCTCTCTCTCTCTCTCTCTCTCTCTCTGTCTCATATATATCATAGATAATTATAATGCCGGGCATATTATTAATTCAAAATGTCACTCAATTTATGCGCTAATTATGCTCGCTGATAATTGTCCTTGTTATTGTTATTGTTGTCCTTGTTATTGCTGTAGTTGTTGTTGTTCCCGCCTGCAGTCTGTAGATGAGCCATTTTCCGCTCTGTTTCCATATGCATATTTTCCAATTTGTCATTTCCAGCGATTGTTGTTACCATTAACCTGAATTGCACCTCAAATCTTTAGTCGAGCCGAAGCCCTTGAAGGTATTCAACACGCGACAATATGTAATGTGAACGAATTGGTAATACCCTAGATGTATTGACATATTGATGTATTAAAGTATTAATGCATTAATGTATTAATGTATTAATGTATTAATGTATTAATGTATTAATGTATTAATGTATTAATGTATTAATGTATTAATGTATTAATGTATTAATGTATTAATGTATTAATGTATTAATGTATTAATGTATTAATGTATTAATGTATTAATGTATTAATGTATTAATGTATTAATGTATTAATGTATTAATGTATTAATGTATTAATGTATCAATGTATTAATGTATTAATGTATTAATGTATTAATGTATTAATGTATTGAAGTACTGAGATATTAATAAATGTGTTTTAATCATTATTTAAATCAATTTTTAATAAGTATTCATTTCGTGGAATCGAGCAGAAGCATGCGACATATCCAGTTTTTAATGTAAATAAATATGTTGTGGAACGGATTTAAATTTCCATAAAAATAACACAAATAATACGAATTCATTATTATTTGCGTTTGACAGAATTATAAATAAAGTTATTTTTATATAATATTTCATTTTTTGTAAAAAGAAAACTCAGGCATGACTAATTTTTTTCTTTGAAATGCATTTAATGCAAATATCAATATTACAGCGTTTTACATGGATGTGCTTTATGCTTCAATACATATCCCATTATTTGTATAGCCACGATGCTGCCACATATTGTTGCAAGATTTCGCATGCGCAAGCATTTACCGCGTTTCTGTGGCAGCTGCGTTTGCGTTTAGCCTAATTAAAATTGTGCTACGTGAGGCAGCATCAGTTCGCATCGGCTGCACGTATTTGCATTGTTAAATGTGAGGTCATAAATGACGGCTAATGTTAAATGGAAAATACACAATGATAATAATGATAAGGCCCAAAGCTCAAACAGAATATTTGGATCGCTGATGTGTGCAGAAATATCAACCGGGGTCGGGTTGAATAAAAGCCTTGATGGGCTTTGAAGCGGGGCAGTCGGTTGGTTGGCTGACCTTTAATTATTTGATGGCACACACACACACACACAAACGCACACGCGCACACGCTGAACTTGCAACACGTTATGTTTTGGTGGCAAGGCACTTTCGCTTATTGAAAAACATTGAAAACTGCAAGTCGAGACGGCGCAGACATGAATGTTTATTGATCGCCCAGTACGATGCTTTTAAGGCCATCATAAAAATAATAATGATGCCAAGGCATGACGATGTTGTTGGTGGTGTCGGTGCTGCTGCGCGCCGCCAGCCAAATGTAGGCAGCTGCACATGGAAATAAATATTTATATGCGCACCATCTATAAATTGAAAGGCCAAAAAACAAAAAAAAAAATAAAGGGTTGTGCGCTAATGCCAATTCCAAGCGACAGGTGAAACGGTAAGGCAACAAACAGCAGGGCGGCCAGAGCAGCAGTAGCAGGAGGCAGGGGTAACAGGAGCAGCAGCAGCAGCAGGACTTATGAGCTTTGGCGCACAGCATTTGGACTTGGACATTTTTACGATGTGATTTCACATAACCACAGTAGACGTGCAGACAAGACATGAAGAGAGAGAGAGAGAGAGAGAGGGAGGGAGAGAAGGCAGGAGAGAAAGAGAGAGCGAGAGATGGAGAGATGGAGACAAGTTGCAGACGCTTTGGTGATAAACTTTGAAATTGCTGTAGCTTGTGGCGTATGTGTGGCACATGGATATGTGTCTCTCTCTTTTTCTCTCTCTCTCTCTCTCTCTGTGTGTGTGCGTCTTGTGGCAGCAACAACAGCAACAGAATTTATTACACTCCAGCGGCACAAGCGAATTCTAATAAGCGAAATGCGATGTTGAGCCCGCGCTAATGTCCTGCAGCAAAATCAAACGGAATTACAGGCCGCATTACGCATACGCCCCCTCAGGCACACACACACACCTACACTCACACACACACACACACACACACCAGCTCGCCGAACAAAAGGGTTGACTATCATTTGTATGATATGATTTGATACACAGCATTCCATATACTTATTTTAGTTTGATTCCAATGTCTGCGCGTGCATGACGCAAGCCATTCATTTGCCAGCAAAAGGATAACAGGATAAGAAAAGAAACCGCAGCATAGTTGATCGAATATTTAATACCCTTTAAAGCCCCTTCTATGAGTATGCCCAACTGATCTTAGAACAAGAAACAACAATACAGCTGTGAGATAAAGTCAACTGAGTATTCGATCGAATATTAAATACACTTGCGATGCTTTAAGCAGATCTTTAATGAGAGCCCAGTATTAAATTCTAATTCAATTCATTTTCTTATCTTATTTCAAAATAGAAAGGTCTTAAGTCCAGGGGTCTTAAGCATAATTGAAGTCAACAATATATCATTACAAAAAATTTACTTTGCTTCGATTGCACTTACCAGATTTATATTATATAATCACGAGTTGTCTTCAAGTATTTGCCATATTGTTGTTCACTTTGTCTAAGATCTCTGCAAAAAAGGAAAAAAATTCTTCATATATAAATACAATAATGGATCATTTATCTTGTAACAGGGATATATAGCTATAATAATAATATAATATAATATAATATATATATTATATATTTATGTAAAGCAATCGGATATCAATAATTGTTAATTAAATTGTAAAAAACCTGCACCAAATATCCTAAACAAATCTTAGCTGAAAGCCCAATTTAAATAGAAAGGAACACTTCATATATGTATTAATCAGCTTAAACAAGAATATGTACATAAAAAGTGTTGAGCAATATTATATTTAGAGCATTACACAACACTTGTAAAAACTTATGATAGCCTTCGGCAGGGTATTTACAAAAATTGAGTGCATGTTATCCATATGCTTGAAGGATTGTTGGAAAGTTCGCTGGCGAAGGGTTGGAGTTGGGTTGGAGGAGGGTTGGGATTGTCGCACTTGAGTTAATTTAATTCAATTCATGGACAGACAATGATTGCGTCAATTGCCGCATGTTTATCATTGTGACAGTTTTTCAACGACGGCGAAAAAAACGTTGGCGAGCCAAATCTTGGCAAAAAAAAAAAAAATACAAACCAAAAACTGGGCCACAGCCAAGTATGAAATCCGTCCAACCCCTTCTGCCCGCCCCCGTTTTGGCTGTGTGTAATGAGGGGGCGGGTTAGCGGAAATTGTATGTAAGCATTTTAGTTTGGCAATTGTCTGCGTTTCGCTCTTCAAAGTGTCTACAAATTGAGCGCATTATTTGCAGCGCGACAGCCGTGTTTTTTTTTTTTTGGCAAGAGTTGCCGCCACGACTTTTGGCTCTTGGCCTTGTTTACATAATGGCCAGCGGTGTCAGTGTCACGGCATAAACCTTACACTTTTGGCTGGCCACAACTGTGCCAATTAGTTTTTAGAGGGGACCGACCCACACACACACACACACACACACACACACTCAAAGCGTACGTGGCGGGGGCCCCGGGGGTGCAATAGTGGAGCGCAGGGTTTTCAATTACACATTATGGCCCTGGTAGCAGTAAAAGAGACTTGGCCCAGACCACAAACAGAAATTGGATTTGCGACTCGGTATTTTTTTTCTTATTTCTTACTTCACTTTTATGTGCAACAGACCAAACGCTCAGCTCGTTCAGTTTTATGAACTTATAAACAAGAGAAAGGTTGTGTGCGGTGGCGGGAGGGCGGGGGGGTTTGGACTGCCTGGGGGTGGGTTAGCAACCCTTTTAGTCAGCTGTTGCTGTTTGCCGACTCTCCAGCTGCTTATTATGTGGATTATTAGAGGGATTTACTTGGCTGCTACCAAAATCACATGCCGTGTATGTGGGTTTTTCATGTGTGTGTGTGTGTGGCATCAATGACATAAATAAAAAGATTTGCCAAGGATTTGCCACTGGGTAACCGCACCAAGCACCAAGCACAAACACAAAACAAGTAAAACAAACCAGCAACAGCTTCCGGCGCCGTCAATATGTGGCAATGCCGTAAAAATACCCCACTCCGCAGAACGCGCACCTTGACACGCCCCGCTCCAACTCACCTGCCTTGCCTGCCTTGTTGCTCGCTTTAAAGGGTGCTCAGCACGTTTGTGTGATTTACGCTGACACTAAAAGCTCAGCCGGGTCAATGTTTGTCTCTGGCTCAGCCATAAATTGATAAACAGCTAATCGCGAATGCCAAAACAAAGTATTACAAAAAACAACATATATGTACATACCTACATACATGCATACATGTGCTTGTATTTGTATACAAGCAAACACGTTCATACACTTCTAACTGATAAGGGCCTTTGAAATTCGCAGCTTCTGTGCTGCGCGTAAACAATGACGTGTCGCAGACTTTCACTTAAAGTCATGTGTTCCCTAGTTAATAGCAATTAATGAACAACATTAACTATATGCACTAACAAATACCCTGCAATGCAGCAACATCAAAACAGTTACCTACTTTTCCACATATATTTATTATCCTTCCAATCCGAAAGAAATAAATAATTAATTAAATCAAATTCGCTGGCTATTTTAAATGCATATTATCTTATGTCAACAAAAGCTTTGCATTTAATATTTAAATCCAAAGCATGTGCCATCTTCTGTGTTACACACTTCGAAAGAAAATTATAATATCCCCTGCAGGCGTATAATTATGTAGATAAATACCTAACTGTATAATGCATACATACAAAAGCACGCTTACCATTTCTCTCTCTCTCTCTCTCACGCTGTGTGGATTTCGCGCTTAAATTTTGTGTCGGAAAAAAGCTCTGCACTAAAAATTACACAAGGCACATCTTACTGATTATTGGACATAAATTAAAAGGCGGCAATGGATAAAAGACTCGGAGGTTTATAAAACTTAACTCGTTAAACACACCATTTAGTTAAATTAACCTTATTGGTAAACGATTTAATAAACACGCGCAGATGACACGATCGATCGACAGGACAGACACGCACTGACTAAATTGCCTCATTTGGCTAGCGCCCACGCCAAGCCCTCGTTCGCACTAATACAACAACAACAACAACAACTGGTTGAGCGCGCAACTATCAAAACTCCCATGCTGCCGAAATGCGCTCTTCTTGTGCAAGCGCGTTTGTCTGCGTACACATCTAAGGTAACGGGATCAATAGCGTGTTACTGCTTCCACGCACACTGTACGCAATGCTCGCGCCTTGTTGTGCCTGCTGTCCGTCTGCAGTGGAGACATTAAACGGGATCAAAAGCAATGTCAATGAGTTGTAAACAGTGAAGGAATAGATTATGTGCCAAGCTTACAATGCGCACATACAGCTGAATATGCAAATAAAATGTAGCTTTTTCCTCTCTGTTCACAAACTGCCTGCAATATACATACATACATGTGTATGTAACGGGATCAAAAGCATTTACTCCAATGAGCTGACAACAGTGGAGTAATAAATAATGTTCCACGTTTACAACATTCGCACTTCAAGCAAAAGCTCTCTGGCTATTAAATATTTAATACTCTATAACAAATCGTAAAGGTTTTAATAATGTTATTATTTTGTCATCCCAATAAAGGCAAAAAAAAAAAAAAAACGATTAACATTAAAAACGATTAAATTAGTAATGAAATACAACTTTTTTTTGTGTATTTTAATTAAATATGATAATCTTTATTAACACATTATTTAAATACAAAAGCAGACACAATATTCCAAGCCGATTAAAACAGTTGCCCGGCAGAGGGGGAAGGGGGGGAGGATGTTTTTTATTCACGTGTTGTTTACTGATAAGGCAGATAAGTAGGCAGAGCTACTTGTTATGCCCGAGCGCATTCCGGAGGACACGCCACCGGGAATAGGCAATGTCCCAGTCGAGGAAGGCGCCAACAATGTGCCGCACATTGTGATCCGTATCATCGTAGCCGGTGCGGCCGTGCACTATGCGCACATTATCGAAGGTTAGAATATCGCCAGGTGTTGTCTTAAAGGCGCATGCCTCCTCGTTGGCCAGGCGTATAAACATGGCCATGGCCTCATACCAGGGACGCACCTGCTCCGGGGGCACGCTGAAGTGGCTGTCGCGCTGCGGAATGCTGTGGTTGATGCGCACGTAACGACCCTTGGCATCCAGGCTGTGTGTGTGTGGCAGCACAGATAACAGAGATAAGAGCAGGCCAGAGAGAAAGAGTGGATGGAGGGGGGGTGGACTTACTTGATGACCGGCGCACGCCATATATTGTGAAAGTAGAGCTCCTTGTCGCTGCCAATGTCCGCCCAATCGACGGGCGTGCCGCTGAGCAACTGAAAGGCGCTCGGCTCCCGCTGCCGCAACAGATCGGCCACATGGAACGCATCGCTGATCAGATTCCAGCCGCCAGGTGATTCCGATTGCTGCAGCGTGTGCAACAGCGTAATGCTCGGCTTGTACTCAAAGTAGGGCATGTCCGTGTGCAGCGGCAGCGGCGCCGCCATATACGCATAATTGCTGGCGCCGGGCTGCGCCCGAACGCTCCACTCATCGCCGTACGTGGTGCGCCGCATGAAGCCCACCCGGTTGCACAGCTGCCGCAGCACGTGCGCCTCCAGCGGCGCCTGCCGGATCAGCGCCAGGCCATGGACGGCCAGCTGGTGCAGCCACTGCAGCAGCGTCTCATCGTTGCGCAGCAGCTCCTCGTACTGGAATTCGCGCTGTATCTGGGCAAACTCCAGGCCGGACCAGTGCCGGCGCTCGGGGCGGTAAATGTCGCGCAAATAACGCGCGCGATTCGCGGGCGAGAAATCACGCGCCCTGAGCCAGCCCAGCGCATAGCTCGACTGATGGCCATCGCTCCAGTCTATCAGCAGCGCCTGCTGCTCCGCGCACCAGCTGAGCTGCTGCAGTCGCACCCCGGTGTCCAAACAGTTCCAACCGTGCGGCAGGCGACTGCGCGTCTGTTGCATATAGCATTTGGGGCACTGGCAATTGTCGCGCAGCCAAATCTCTGGAAATTGCATGGCCGGCTGTTCCAGGTGCAGGCGCAACAGCACCAGCTGCTGCTGCAGATCCCGACTGAGCTGAACGCACGTCATGCTTCTGCTTCTCGCACGGGCACAACCGCCGTCAAGACGCAACGCGCGGCGAATGAGCTGAGTTTCGGCTGCGGCTGCGAGATCAGCCCATGGTGGACGACAATAGACACGTGGCCTTTAGATTATGGAGCTGGGCTCGCCTGATGCCAGCTCGAAGTCGAGCACTTATCAATCCTTTGTGATAGCTCGGCTGGAATTGGCTCGGTGTGTTGCTGCCTCAGCATTATTTATTTTTTATACTTTTTATTAAAGATTTTTACTTTAAGCTGCCACACACACACACACACACGCACACACAGAGAGCGAGAGACAAGCGGTCCCCTTGCAAAATTAAAAATGCAAAATTAATTTTGCACAAAATTGCAAACGCTTGCAATTTTTGCATAATTGTTTGTCATCAGCATGAGACCCTACACAAGCGCCCCAATGGCGCCCCAGCCTGTTGCAACCCCGCCCCTAAACGACCAACACAGCCCAGCAGCCCTTTCACTTCATTGAAATGCCGTCAATCATTGTTAGGCACATTGATCACTTCATTCGCAATGTTGCACATTTACACACACACACACACACACACACACACACACACACACACTGCCGCCATGTTGCCTGATTGCAATATCCCACTTCTGACAACACAATAACCATGCAGCATATATGTATAGAGAAAAACAGCGGCAACAACAACAATAACTGCGCGATTTTTAATTATCACTTTCGCATTTGTTGTTGTTGTTGTTGCTTTCACACACACAAAGATGTATCTGCATTTGCATTTGTATCTGTATCTATCTATCGCCTGGGTATCACTGGCTTTTCCATTTCCATTTTCATTCAGCTCGCTTTCACGCCTGAAACAAAGAAACACAATCCGTGAATGCTCAGCTTTTAGCTTTGCCAAGAGTATTTACACTCACCAACAAATTAATATCGGGCATTTCACAAATGTCTTTCGTTTGGGCACCGTTTAAGGCTCATATGTATATATATAGATATATTTTTATATATATTTTCTAAATAAGCGTAAAGAATGGAATTGAGCTACAATAAATTATCACTTTGAAAATCTTTTTCTTTTTCAACATTTTATTTAACATTTATTTCCAGTTTAACTGTTATGGAGAACTTGGGAAACTCGAATGGCTTCTATAATTTATACTCTCTTCGAACCTTTGAATTCCGTGAAACTTCATTCTAACTTCGATCAAGAGATATTTCCCGTTTTTCTTATACACTCACACACTGTCTCTCTCTCTCTCTATCTGTCTCTTTCTCTCGCTGCACATGTACTATCTAGTCTTATATATTCCTCTCTCTTTCTCTCTCGCTCTAACTATACATGTTCTAGATAATCCCTAACTAAATACAACTATTACTAGAAATACTATTAATTTATAATTATTTATATATCAAAATCTAATTATATTTAAAATCCATAGCATACTTTTTGGAGCTAATCAAATGTAGCAATCGAAATGTATAAAATATGCCTCAGAAAATCCTTAAGCCAAAAGAATAAACTGAAAACTTTATAATTCGCAACAAGTTTTATCGGCATAATAATTAGATGTTTCTTGACATTTGCAAAAAGTGTATTCACATGTCGTTTACATATCAATCTGCAGCATCACAAGCTGCTCATTTGGTTGAAGCATTTCATATTTCTATGGAATATTTTATGCATTGTATCTGGAGAGATGAGAGCGAAAAGAGCTAGAGGGATTGGGGGAGGGTAGATGCTGCCGCTGGCGTCGCGCAACACCCAAAGCCAGAAACTTTATTGTTTTCAATTAAAAACATTTTACATGCAAAAACATTCTCGCATCTATGTAAACGAGTGCCTCGATCCATTCGTGTATTCATGGAATTCATGAAACGAGCAACAACAAAAAAAAAAACAACGCACAATTGTTGCAATGAAGTGAAATGTAATGAGGTGTAATGAAAATGCATTCAAGTGTTGCGCCTGACAGTTTTCCACCTGCACTTAACAATAAACATAATCAACAGCAGCAATTACAACAACAACAGCACGAGAAACATGTCATATAACAATCTGAGTGGTATCCATATGGAGCTATAAATTTCGGTTAAGCCCTTCGGTCTTTCGAGTTGCTTTCAATTTCATTGCAATCTCTGGCTATTAAAATGCCACCTGAGCTGGCAACTTGTTTACCTAATCACAATATCCCAATATATAAGCTGCTCAATTAAATGACATCGATAATTGGGCTCACTAAGCTTCTCCTGTTCGCATTAGGCTCATTAAATTCGACACACACACTCAGCTAAGCCCACCGCAGATGCAACAATTTTCAAATGCTTGTGAAAGTGAAACACTTACTCAAATTAAACTACGCCCAGATGGGCGTAAAAGGCACAAAAACGGCATTAACTTGAATTAAGTGCAGCAAATTGTTGCTTGACTATCAATATACCCTGCACAAAATACAAAAATAATAAAGCTAGTGCTAACATGTTGCGAACTTGTGACCCCTTCCTGTGTCGAAGTTTATCTTGTCCAGTCTGCCAGCAGCAGGGTTTGAACTTTCGCTCCCAGTACTATCTCAGACCCTGAACAAGGGGCTCTACCAGCTAACTGCTGTCTAGAGGACTAACTGGTTCTACCCTTAACTATGTTCTTCCATCAACCCTGACCAGGTTCTTTTATCAGCCAACTGTCCCTGTACTTGGTCCTTAACCAGCTAGCTGCTAAGCCTAGTACCTAGTACCTCATCAGCAAACATTTAATAAATTGTTAGTAGAGATCAATCAACCCATTGATGACAGCTGCTCACAACAGGGTATCAATGTGGCCATAACAGTGCTGTATGCTAAATTGTTTGATATTTGTGATTATCAAATCGAATTCGAGTGGCACATAAATTGAAACGAATCAAATGAATGCAAATCGAATCAAAC